ACCTCCACGATAGATCCGCCGCCGAGGTTCTGGTGAAGGTATTCAGAAACCACCACTGGTACAACCAAATCCTTCATGCTTTGAATTATATGACAGGGAACAGTCACATGAGGCAACAAATGCCTTAAATCACTTAGGAATATGATTTGTAACACGCTTAATGCAATGTCTGGTCTCATGTTGAATAATGTCCTGCTGAGTTCCTGTACTGCCACTGAATCCATGTCACCTCCTACAGCTAAAAGTGCAAAACCAGAACACCATGCCTTGTAATTTGATCTCATTGTTTCAAACAGTTGATCCAGATCTTCTTGCTCGAATCCTCCGTAATAGTCCACGTCATTCAAATACCTAATTAGATTTATTAATTCAAGTTAGAAAGATAAGTTTCAGAATTTCATGGAACTATCCCTAAGCCAAATAAAAAAAGGATCCAGCACACCATTGTAATAATAAATAAACCTAACAAACAACTGTCGTGCCCAACGTAGACAACCAACATGTTCAATAGAAGAATTAGCTAATGATTTGCATATTTACCAGCTGAATGATTTATTTAAATTATAATAATAAACCAAAAAATAGACTCGAAGTTGTACTATTGCTCTCTCTTTCTATGACTATGACTACTCTTCATTTAAAGTTTGCTATTAGTATTTCTTTAAATTTCACCCAAAAGATTAGGTAATATCAGGGGAAATGCAAGCACGGAATCAATGCACTAACTAATTTAAAACCAAGAATATGCTTTTGTGATTTAGGTTAGTTGGTAAATAGTTGTAAGAAATAAGTGTCGTTAAGAACATCAAATTGCGACAAGGAGAAATAGTCAAAAGTTAATATTCACCAGTAAATTGTAAGAAGGTAAAGGGAAATTAATTACCTGGGAGAACCAGAGACGGTGACAAGTTTGGTGAAGAGATCGGGACGAGCAACAGAAGCGATGACACCAACCATAGCAGAAACAGAGTGTCCAACATAAATGCAACTAGTAATTTGGAGTTCTTCCAAAATAGCGATCACATCATAGACATAGCCTTCTAAAGTTGAATACCTTTCAAAGTCAAAGTAGTCTGGGTTGGTAGTTCCAGCACCCATGTTGTCAAACAAGACAACCTTGTAATCGCCAACTAGATGAGGAACCAGATGTTTCCACACAGATTGGTCTGTCCCAAACCCATGAGCTAGGACTATGGTTCGATCCCCTATCCCTAAAACCTTGACGTTGTGTGCTTCTTCAACTATTCCCATCTCAGGTTTTCTTTAATTTGTGGAAATCAAGGATTTGTGTTTTTGGTTGCCTCTTGCGTTCTTTCTGTTGGTTAGAAATGGATGCAAGGGGAAGCCAAAGTGTGGACTTCTTTATTCTTTTATGCTTTGTTTGGGTCTTGGTCTGGAGAATGAGAGCCAGGATTATAACCACATGTTTTGGTGTCTTATTGCTCTTTGTTGATAAGATATTTGGTACTATTTCTCTGCATATTGGGCATCTGACGGCTTTATTTTAGAAAAGAAAATTTTGATATGACAATAATTTGTGATTTAAGTTTTGTGCAATGTTGTCTAAAAAGATTCTACGCTATCAATACGACTTAATTTACTATAACAAGTCATGTATCATATTTGTTATGATTAATATTACCTAGTATACAAGTCAATTTTATTTCATAAAATTGCAATCAAAAGCTAATCAACTATGATAATGAAAAACAATATGTCGTATTAGTCAATCTTTATTTGTCGAAGTACCCTAGACTTCTTAACCTTAGCTCAAGATTAACACCAAAGAAAGAGAATCTCTAATGCATGTCAATGAAGGTGTTGACGACGCAACTCGAGTAAAGAACTTCTTACTTTTCAAAGAAACAATAAAACATTACGAAATAAGGTCATTTTGCTCTCTCTCTTTTTATTAAAATATAAAAAAGTGGCAAGTTTGAGACAATTAATACTGACTTCTAGATATTTTTGTTGTTGTTTGCTATACCATCATTTTAAAAATAAGTTGAGCTCTTTCAATTCATGAAAGTAATACTTTTTGGAGCGTGACAGATGAAATAACTTCATACATATACTAGGGTGCTTTAATGGAGTGTGAATTTAAAGTAGATATATATTTTCATGTTCCATATTTCATTAAAAATTTAAAATTATCAATAACTCCTTTGTTAGAAGACAAAACCCCCAGTAGCATTGCTAAATAACTAATGACCCCAAAGTAATTCCATGATAATGCTATTAAATTTATAAGAAAAAGAAAATATTAGTGCATAAATAATAGGGAAATAATTTCCCTAAATTATAAGACGTCCCATCAAACTATGTTAGGTAGGAGGACCCCATAAAAATCAAATTGCTCGTCAAACTTTATTTAATTGAGAAAAAAACAGGTCAGGACACTACTTCTGGTCCATTAACGTAGCTTTGGGCCAAACAGCTCTGTGCTGAGAATGCTCACTTGTCTGCATGCTCTAGGTGTGTGGTACTATTATTTTTTTAAATAAACTTTTCCAATTCCACGGGAGAAAATGGAAAAGAAAAAGAGAGAGAAAAGAAAAAGAACGAATAGATAACAAGCTTATTATACGAAAGACCCTCATCATCATCTTCATCAACAACAACAACAACAACAACAAAAAATCCAACTTAATTTCATATTTGGGTCTGGACAGGGTAGTGTGTATGCAGCCTTACCCCTATCTTATAAAGGCAGAGAGGCTGTTTCCGATAGACCCTCGGCTTAAGGAATGATAAAAATAAAGCAACAAGCAATAACATCAGTAATATAATAAGGTAATGGAAGCGAGTGACATAACAAGTACTAAAGAACTAAGAATACAAGAATAGTACTAGTTGTGATAACCCTCACTTGATTTACAAGTAAATTCTGTGTTTCGAGACCTTAAAAGCCTCCTTTCATCTCACCTCGATTTGTGTGCGCGTCCCGAACGTATATTCGGAACACTTTTATGTGAAAAATTGATAAAAATGCTAATTTGGCCTTTAAAATTGAATTTAAGTTGATTTCGGTCAATATTTTGGGTAAACGAACCCGGACCCGTGATTCGACGGTCCCGGGGGATTCCGTAGAAAAATATGGGACTTGGGCGTATGCCCTAAATTGAATTCCGAGGTCCCAAGCCCGAGAAATGAATTTTTTAAAAAAAATTGTTTAACTAAAATCTTAAGAGTTTTTGGGAATTTGAACGTATTTGAAATTGATGGTATCGGGCCCGTATTTTGGTTCCGGAGCCCGGTACAGGTCTTATATGGTATTTAGGTTGAGCCTATAAAATTTGGTAAGAAACGGACTTGAAATGACGTGAATCGGACCCTGGGTTGTTAAAATTTGAACTTAGGAAGTTCTTGAGATTTTCTTTGATTTTGATGTTAGATTCGTTGTTATAGGTGTTAATTTGGCAATTTGATCACACGAGTAAGTCCATACGATGTTTTTGAGTTAGTGTGCATGTTTGGGTTGGAGCCCTATGGGCTCAGGTGAGTTTCGGATAGGTTTCAGGATGTTTTTACACTTAGAAAAGTTGCAAGTTTTGCTGTCTCAAGTGCACAGAGATTTTTCTCTTCGCGTTCGCGTGGCTTCACTCACGAACACTTAAGGCAAATTTCCTCAGGTGCCAGTTTATTCTTCGCGAACGCGGAGCTCAGGACGCGAACGCGAAGCTGTGTGTGTGTGTGTGTGGGGGGGGGTTACCCTTCGCGAACGCGTTCCGATTCTCGCGAACGCGTAGGGTTAGTGGGCCTGGGGGAGGGATTTCAAATTGTTCTACGCGAACACGGACACCTAACCGTGAACGCGAAGGCTTGAGGAGCTGAAACTCCGCGAACGCGAGCCCTTGAATGCAAATGCGATGGCCATCTGGGCCTGACCCATCGCGAACGCAACAGGCCTATCGCGAACGCGATGAAGGCCTGGCCAGTTATTTTAAAACAAAATCAGAACCGGGCAGAACCCATTTTACTCCATATTTTCGAACTCCCAAAGCCTAGAGGCGATTTTCTTCCCACAAATTCATCCCCAAAGTGTTGGTAATCAATTCTAAACTTTACTCTTTCAATTATCCAATGTTTTTTATCACTTTTTAATAAAAAATCAAAAGTTTTCATGGTAGAAATTAGGAATTTAGGTAGAGTTAGGGCTTTTTGAATAATTGAGATTAGACCTCATTTTGGGGTCGGATTTCGAAACTAATTGTATATTTGTGCTCGTGGGTGAATGGATGATCGAGTTTTGGTCCGAACCTTGTGTTTTGATTAAGCGGGCCCGGGGTCGATTTTTGACTTTTTGGGAAAAATGATAGAAAACCTATAGCATTTATTGACGTTGTCAAATTAATTTGGAATAGATACAAGTAATTCGGAGGCGAATTCTAAAGGAAAAGTGGTGTTTGAGGCTTGAGTTGGCCGTGGAAGTTCGAGGTAAATGTTTGGCCTAACCTTAGCTTGAGGGAATAGGTATTGTGATTTAATTGCTATGTGCTAGTGTAGTGTACGACGTATAGGTGTGGTGACGAGTATCTATATGTCATTGTCAAGCATGCCCGTGAGTCTTAATTTGTAATCGTTGTGTTTTTGATAAATACTACATAATGCCTAAGTTGTTGATTCTCCGTGTTGGGCAATAATTGTGATTATTCTCGTGGTAGTTATTTATTGTTGAGTATTGGTTCCAGTTGAGGTTTCATTTGTGAAGTTAATTATTGGTACAAGTTTGGTTATAGCTAATTCCCTTGTTGGGACGTATTTAATTCTTATCGTTGGTTCCCTTGTCGGGACATGTTCATTCTCATTGTTGATTCCCTTGCCGGGATATTGTTATTTCCTTATTATCCCTTGTCGGGACTCATTTGTGATTGGTATTGAATTGTGTATTTGGATTGGGTTGCATGCCGCAATAGTTTTATATGGGATCGGGTTGTACGCCGCAACAGGGAGTAATAAGGGAGGACATGAGGGGTCGGGTTGCACGCCGCAATAGTGATAAATGATTGGATCGGGTTGCGCGCCGCAACAATAAGTGATAAAAATGGATATTGAACTGTTATTGCTTCTTTATTCTTACTGATGCAACCTTTAAAATGTTCTTATGTTTTTCTCCTAAGTTACTGTGATTACTTGAAATTCCCCTGCAGCATGTACCCATTCCCATCTTTAACTGCTAGTTTCCGTTATTATTACTTGTAGTATATGCTTTAACTGCAAAGGTTTATTTGGTAGTCTCGTCCTAGCCTCGTCACTACTTCGTCGAGGTTAGGATCGACACTTACTAGCATATGAGTCGGTTGTGCTGATACTACACTCTGCACTATGTGCAGATCCCGGTGCTGGAGCATTTGGACCATTGAGAGAGGTTGCTGCCTTCAGTCCATTAGGAGACCCGAGGTAGTCCTGCAGGCGTCCACAAGCCCTGGCATCCCCTTCTATCTTTATATTCTGTTTTCATTTACTTTAGAGACAGATTGTATCTTTCTTTCCAGACAACTGTTTGTAGTATTCGTAGATGGTCTGTGATATTATGACACCAGTTCTGGGTAGAGATGTACTTTATATTTTTCGTACTTGTATTTGGCTAAGTTATCAGATTTAGTCTTCCGCATGTCTTTAATTATTATTAATATTCCACTGTTGATCGCATGTTGTCTTAAACTATTAAAAAGGCTAAGAAAAAAGGTTAGTATCTATAATACTCGGCTTGCCTAGCTTTCACGAGTAGGCGCCATCACGACTCCCGAGGGTGGGAAATTCAGGTCGTGACACTAGTATTACTGGTAAACCTAGGAGAAACTCATAACTACCTGTCAATCCAATACCTTAATCCTCGACCTTCACACCTTCCTATCGCTTGTCATATCCCCGGTTAAGTGAAGTAATGACATGTCCTACCTAATCATCTCTCCCCAATACTTCTTCGCCCTACTCCTGCCCTTCCTCAAGTCTCCCATGGTTAACCTCTCACACTTCCTGACCGAGGTATCTATGTCTCTCTTCTTCACATGCCCAAACCCTCGCAGCCTCGATTCCCGCAACTTGTCCTTCACAGATGTCACTCCCACCTTGTCCCTAATAACTTCATTCCTAGTCTTGTCTTTCTTGGTATGCCCACATATTCATCTCAACATCCTCATTTACTTTCATCTTCTGGACATGGTACTTCTTGATGAGCCAACACTCAGCTCCATACAACATAGCCGGTCTAACCACCACCCTGAAGAACTTGCCCTTAAGTCTAGGCGACACATTTTTATTGCATAAAACCCCCGAATCTAGCTTCCATCTCATCCACCCTACTCCAATACGATGAGTAACATCCTCGTCAATCTGCCCATTGCCTTGAATTATAGACCCAAGATACTTGAAAGTATCTCTTTTAGGAATGACTTGAGTATTAATTTTCACTTCCACTTCTTCTTCATACCTCTCATCACTAAACTTTCACTCTAAGTATTCAGTTTTCGACCTACTCAACTTGAAATCTTTAAACTTCAGCGTCTGTCTTCAAACTTCCAACCTAGCGTTAAAACCCCCTCGCTTGTCGTCAATCAGTACTATGTCATCAACAAATAATATACACCATGGCAACCTCCCTTATATGTGTCATGTCAACATCTCCAACGCTAGAGCAAACAAAAATGGACTAAGGACCGATCGCTGATGCAACCCCATCTCCACAAAGAATTGTTCTGAGTCTCCTCATGCAGTCCTTACACGAGTCTTAGCACCTTCGTACATGTCCTTAATCACCATAATATACGCTACCGAGACTCCGCTAATCTCCATAGCACCTCCCTCGAGACTTTGTCATAAGCCTTCTCAAGGTCAATGAATACCATATGCAAGTCTTTTTTTCATCTCCCTATACTGCTCCGCCAATCATCTCACCAGGTGTATAACAATCAGAATGGAGGGTCCTACCTACATACATGATTGATAGAATCACTACGTAAGGGGGATCCCTCGCCTTATTTTGTAGTAGGGTGATAGTTGACTATCCCGGTATAAATCCGAACTCGTTCTTAGAGATAGATACACATGTCCTCACTCTCTTCTCCACCACCCTCTCCCAAATTTTCATAGTGTGACTCAGCAGCTTGAAACCCCTATAGTTGTTGCAGTTCTGGATATCACCTTCTTTTTTGTACAATGGAATCATCAAACTCCACCGCCAATCTTCGGGCATCTTCTTTGTCCTGAAAATGACATTAAACAAGTTAGTAAGCCACTCCAAGCCTACCCTGTCCCTTCTTTCCAAAATTCCATCGTGATCTCGCCAGGCCCAGTCGCCTTACCCCTGCTCATCATCCGTATTGCCACATTAACCTCCTCACACTTAATACACCTACAAAACTCAAAATCTTCTCTAAGTTCTCCAACTCACCCAACACGATATTCCTATCCCCTTCCTCATTCAAGAGTCTACGGAAGTGCTTCTGCCATCTACGCTTGATACACACCTCTTCCATTAATATCTTACCACTTGGTCTATGTACCTCACTCGATCTAGGTCCCGAGCCTTCCTCTCCCTAATATTGGCTAACTTGTACATCTTCCTATCCCCTCCTTTACCCCCAAGATCCTCATACAACCGTTCAAAAGTTGTTGTCTTAGTAGCCGTGACCGCGAGCTTCACCTTTCTCCTTGCCTTCTTATAACACTCCCTGTACGTCCTCTGTTCTTCCTCGTCCGTGCTCCCTACTAGCTTCAAATATATCACTTTTTTAGCTTCCACTTTTTCTTAGACCTCTCCATTCCACCACTAGTCCCCTTTATGGCCACTAGAGTAACCCTCCGAGACCCCTAACACCTTCCTAGCAGTTTCCTTAATGCAATTCGCTATCGTGGTCCACATACTACTCACGTCCCAACTACTCCTCCAGGCCTCCATAGCCAACATCTTCTCCCCCAACTCCTGAGCCAAGGCTCCCCACTTGATCTTAGGTTGGTCATACACCGCTCTCTTCTTCCTTGCTCCTTTGATCTCCAAGTCCATGACCAAAAGCCTATGTTGCGTCGACAGACACTCACTTGGAGGCACATACTTACTAAGGAGCCGTATAATATGATGGATAAGTAAAAATAATTCTGGGATAAACATTTAGTATCAGTTTATTTCTTATTTGGTTACTAATTCTGGGATTAGTTATCCCAGGATTAAAAATAGTATCAGGATAACTTATACCTACCAAATGCTGTAATAGTAATTTCCAGATAAAACAGTAAAATTGACAATTTCATAATTAATACAACATACCAAACAATCAATAAAAATAAGGAAAAGGGCCAAATACCCCCCCGGACTTTATGATAAGGTCTATATATAACCCTCGTTAAAAGTTTGGCCTATCCCCAACCTTGTCGTTACACTATTGGCCTAGATACCCCTTTTGTTTTAAACGGTTGCCACAGTGGATAAGTTATCCACTCAAAATATTACACGTGGAAATTAATATACACACAAACATTTTATTTTAATGCCCATCCCTACCCATTAACCCTACCCGTTACCCGGCCCATAAGTTTGTGCCCGTCTCTTAATTAACCCTACTCATTTCGTCCGCTTGGGTAAAAACAATTACCAAACTCCATACCCCATTATCGTCGACTCCACCAAAAATTCCACCATCTTTCTGCTAATGCGAAGAAATCCAATTGAAGGTGAGTGCTGCTGAAACTCCATACCCCCATATTAAAGAAGATCTTCTTGTCAAGGTAAGTTTCTTTAGCTTCTTTTTTGTTACATTTTACTGTTGGGTCTAGGTTTTAGGATTAAAATCGTTTTAACATGTGATTTAGTCGAGTTAATGTTTATCTATTTAAAAGCATTATATATGTATGTTTATTGCTGGATTTTGTTTATTCTCGTGTTTTTGTTGGGGATTTGGTGGGTCTTTAGTTGTCCCGGAATCATATTTGTCTTTTAGTGTTTTTTTATTCCATGCTTTATCTTTATCCGTATATGTTTGTTTATTGCTGGATTTTTTTATTCTCATATTTTTTGTTGGGATTTGGTGGGTCGGCTGTCCCGAAATCAGATTTGCTTTTAAGTTTTTTTATTCCATACTTTATCTTTATACCTATATTTTCTGATGTGGTCCCTTTTCCGTTGTTTTTATTGTTTCCTTTTTTTTAGCTTTCGAAGGATGATTTCAGAGGTTGATATTGTGTTCAACTATGGGGGTAAATGGGTATTTTCACCTGACCTAGTATACTGTGAGGAACTTGTGCACTTATGGACATCATTTGATCCTGACTTATTGAGTTATAAGGATATATGTGATGAGTTTACCTCCAGATTAGGGTTTGTCAAAGTTAAACAATTGTTAGTGGTTGGGCCTTCGGGTAAGTACTATTTGGTAGAAGGTGATGAGAGTATTAGGGCTCTTCTTAGCTTATTATGTAACAAATTCAAGGTCTTAAATTTCTTTGCTGTTAATGAGAGTGAGTCCACTGTTTCTGTTCCACATATCATAGACCATACAGAAACATATCATGTAGATGTTGAGGTTGGTACAGATTGTGAACAAAGTCTTGGTTCTGGTGGCGAATATGAACCTTCAGATGGTGGGGAGTATGATTCGGATGAAATGGAGGGTATTAGCAATGAAAGTAGGAGGGTTTTAGATGATAGGTTGGAAAGCTATAAGGAGTTGAAGCTAGGTATGTCATTTAAGGACATGAATGAAGGCATGAAGGCTGTAAATTTCTATGCTTTAGCTAACAAAAAGGCTTTGAAGTTGATTAAATGTGAAAAAGTAAGAACCAGGTATGGTTGTCAAGAAGGGTGTCCCTTTAGGTGTCTAATTTCTGAAGATGGGAAAACTGGTGGGTTCACGATTAAAACTTGGAAGGATATACACACATATGATGATGCCTTTAAGAATCCTAGAGCTGATTATGCCACATTAGCTAAGTATTTTAAGAGTAAAGTCCAAAATAACCCTAAATACATGATTAAAGATATGAGAGGTGAGCTTGAACATGATTTGAAGTTGAATGTGAGTAGATCCAAATTGAAAAGGGCTAAGAGTTTGGTTCTTCAGAAACTAGAGGGTAGTTTTATAGATGACTACAACAAACTTGAGGCATACTGCCAAGAACTTAGATTGTCTAATCCAGGAAGTGATGTAGTCATAAATATCTCCAAAGATGCACTAGCAGAAGGTAAGAGAAATTTTTTGAGAATGTACTTATGCTTTAATGCTTTGAAGCAAGGCTGGAAAAATGGTTTGAGACCATTAATTGGAGTGGATGGTACATTCTTAAAGGGTAGAACCAAGGGTCAGCTATTGGTTGCATTAGGACAAGATTCCATGAATCATTTCTACCCACTAGCATGGGCTGTGGTGGACAAGGAAACAAGCAGGACTTGGAGTTGGTTCATGGAGCTGTTGAAGTTGTCTTTGGAGCTTAAAACTGGTGCAAGAATCACATTCATATCAGATATGCAAAAGGTAATTAATTCTGATTTTCTTTCATTATATATTTTAAAGTATATGATGGTTTGCACTAATAGTCTAATATTTCTTTCATTTTCTGTTTTTGATTCATTTCACAGGGCTTGTTGGCTGCTGGTAGCACAATACTTCCTGAGGCTAACCACAAGTACTATATGAGACATATTGAGGCCAATTGGCAAATGGAGAAGTGATGAAATAAGAAAGTTGTTATAGTGGTGTGCATGGAGTTCATATGTTGAGGAGTTTAAAGACCAACTGAAAAAATTAGGGGATCTGTCAGAAGATGCTGCAAAGGATATCTTAAAGTATCTCCCAAGGGCATGGTGCAGGGTTTATCTTGATACTCAATGTAAGAATATGATGGTTGATAACAACTTCACTGAGTCATTTAATGCCTGGATTCTTGAGGCTAGAGGAAAACCAATTATCAAAATGTTGGAGGACATAAGAGTGAAAGTGATAGTGTTGTTAGGAGACAATGAGGCTAAGGTGAGAAGTTGCAATGCAGAATATTAGTCCAGCTTGCTTGAAGTTGTATAGTGATCGGAAGGGCATATCACATGACTGTAAAGTTATATTCAATGGAGATTGAGGATATGAAGTGTCTGAAGGAATTGATAGACACGCTGTCAATCTACAACAGAGAAGGTGTACATGTAGGTTATGGGATTTATCTGGCATTCCTTGCCCTCATGCAATAAAGGCAATGGTGCATAAGAGAGTAGAGCCTGATGGTGAAATCCATTGGTGGTATAGTAAAGAAGCATACTTGCTAACATATAAGGAAAAGCTTCAGCCTGTTAGGGGTCGACAATTCTGGAAAGTTGAACCTTCACAAGCCATGTTACCTCCTGATACTGTGAAGCAAGTTGGCAGACCCAAAGTGAAAAGAAATAGGGAACCAGATGAGGCAAGAAAAAGGATAGGGCATGGAGTCAATCAAGGAAGGAGACACAAATGACATGTAGTAATTGTGGTGAGCCAAACCACAATGGAAGGGGTTGTTACAAGGTAATATTTTTTCATATTGTTTGATTGATTAACAGTACTACTTAAATTGACTTGATTTTTTTTTACTTGTTAATAGCCTAAGGCTGCTGCAACTCAAGAAGATGCTGCAATGGAGAGTGACAATGAAGATGTTGGACCATTTGCTGCCACCCAAGCTGCAAGCTGCAATGCTGATGTTGGACCATTTGCTGCCACCCAAGCTGCAAGCTGCAATGCTGATGTTGGACCATTTGCTGCCACCCAAGCTGCAAGCTGCAATGCTGATGTTGGACCATTTGCTGCCACCCAAGCTGCAAGCTGCAATGCTGATGTTGGACCATTTGCTGCCGCCCAAGAGTTCACACCATATGGTCCAGAAGTTGACAATGAAGAAGATCCTCCACTTAGGCCAATGATTATTTCAGAAACACAATCAAGGATTGAGAGGGGTAACCTAAGAGGACCTACTACTGGTGTAAGGAAAATTAAGTTTGCTGGAGATCACACTGGGGCTTCGACACCTACCAATATTCCTTATTCTCCAACTAAGCTGACATGGAAGGGAAAAGCTGCAATCTCATCAAGCCAAGTCCAACTTGAGGCAAGAAAGAGAAATATCAAGATGATGGCAACAAAGGGCAAAGGTAAACGAGTTGCACTTGATGATGAAGATCTTCTTTGAAAACAATTGTTATGTTTTTTGTTGTGATTGGTTATTAAACAATTATGTTTAGTTAGTTAACAAACAACACAGTTAACCAATTATCCTGGTTCTTGTTGAGGCCTATGTGCCATGTTTTGCTTCTTGTTTTTGCTGTTAAGTTTTTGCTAAGGCTGCTATGGGGTTGGTTAAGTTTCTGCTACTTGTTGAGGCCTATGTGCCTTGTTTTGTATTCTTCTGCTTGTTGAATTCTGCAAAACAGTTGTTCAATTTCAGTGTTAATGTTCCATGTTATTACCAGTGATATTCTGTTGCTTGTTAATGTTTCAGTGTTATTTATAGACAAGAAGTTTCAGTGTTAATGTTCCATGTTGTATTCTGCTGCTTGTTGGGATCTGGTTGAACAGTGGTAACCAAACTTCTTATCTGTAAATGGTTAGATGTTTTCATTTGAAAATCAAAGGGCTTTTTACATTCTGCAAAACAGTTGTTCAATTTCAGTGTTAATGTTCCATGTTATTACCAGTGATATTCTGCTGCTTGTTAATGTTTCAGTGTTATTTACAGACAAGAAGTTTCAGTGTTAATGTTCCATGTTGTATTATGCTGCTTGTTGGGATCTGGTTGAACAGTGGTAACCAAACTTCTTATCTGTAAATGGTTAGATGTTTTCATTTGAAAATCAAAGGGCTTTTTACATTTTACATTTCACCTTTTAGAAATGCCTTTCAAAAGTTTTGTCCTTATGAAAGTCAAAGGGCCTTTTACAATGTAAAATACAGCTTGCAGAAAACATTTCAAAATTTATTCCTTGCCATAAATTATTAGGTGTGTCCGAGCAGTAGCAAAGAGGCTTTCGTCTGTTACAGCTGAGGATGGTTTATGCAAGTTTGCAGTGAAAAGCAGTTAATAAAACTCTGGGTGGATTTCTTACATTTCCTTTCAAATAGATTGAAACAGATGAAGAAGATAGTGCATTTTTCGATACTGATGACTTTATGTCTGCTGAATCTCTTAGAAGTGCTTCTTATCGCAGTAGAGAGGGTGCTGGAAATGCTTGTAGTTCATTAATCTTTGAGAATGAGAACCTCTGAAGTGCAAACTGTAGTCACTATATAAACCGGCGGATTTCACTCTTTTGAATCTCATTGGTTGTGGTGTAATGCATTCGTACCAGGTTATGTGCAGGTTCTAAACATGTTTTTTGGCCTCTTGAACTGCATTACTGATTTCAACTGTGTAATATATTAGGTGTGCAGAAATGGCTTTTCTTAATCTAAGAGGATCAAATTACCAAACTAATCTTGTGTAGTCAGAAGGAAAGTCCTGCATCTGACTTTGGTGATTCTGCCCTTCAACTAATCCATCATTACATTTCACTTTGTTCACACTCCATTTTTCATCTGTCACAACAAGAACCAACACATGAACAGTTGAATACACACACCAGAACAAGGTATATATAGTGACTACAAGGGAAGTGAAAATAGAAGTGAAGACAATCAAATATCCCTATATCAAAAGGATGGATAGTCTACCAGAACAGAAGGAAAAAGAGAAGCCAGTTAAACTTATACATGTTTGAACATAGGTTACATAATCACTTAAACTTCATTCCAAAACATAAAACATAAATTAAACCTTAACCATGTCAATTATACATAAACCTTGTTTGAACATCGGTTACATAATCACTTAAATATGTCAAATACACCTAAACTTTGGTTGAGCTTAAGTTAGCTATTTCATCATCCAAGCACACATAAACCCAACGAAGCAACACCATACCAAACCAATGATATTCCATTTTTTCGGACTACTTTCCTTCACAAACACTAAACCTCCATCAATTTTTTCCTTAGAAACATCATTGTCTCCTTTTAACATTATCTAATTCCTTGAAATATTCAATTTTTGCAACATCCCCTGCTAAGACGCTTTCAATCTCGACAACCTTCATCAGCAGAAGATTCCTTTCTCGTATAAGAGCTTCATTTTCATTCTTTAAGTTACTGATCAGTGTTGTAACTCTAAGAGGAAGTTCATCATCTACCCATTCCCAAAACTTACATTTTTGTTCCTGCGCAACAATTACAATAAAATTATCGACAATTTTTGTCTGCCGGCATTATTTACCTAAACAAAATATACAAACAATTCTTATAAAATTTACCTTAGGCATTGAACACTTGTTAAATCGTCTGCCGACATTATTTGGAGTCCAAGCAGTGAATTGGCTAGTAGCAACAACATTTCCTCCTCGAACCATATGATGAACTCGAAGATCCCTGGCTCATATTTTGGGAATTGAATGGTGAAAGATGGTGGGAACACTAACCCTTACTTGGTCGTCCAGATTTGCACCGAAATTAGCACCAGCTCTGTAAGTTCCTTGTTGAGATTGAGAAGAAAAGCTGACTGAGAAGAAAAGGGTAGGGTTAATTAAGAGACGGGTACAAACTTATGGGTCGGGTAACGGATAGGGTTAATGTATAGGGATGAGCATTAAAATAAAATGTTTGTGTGTATATTAATTTCCACGTGTAATATTTTGAGTGGATAACTTATCCACTGTGGCAACCATGTAAAACAAAGGGGTATCTAGGCCAATAGTGTCACGCAAGGTTGGGGATGGGCCAAACTTTTAACGAGAGTTATATATAGACCTTATCGTAAAGTCCAGGGAGGTATTTGGCCCTTTTCCGTAAAAAATAATACGAGGATAACTAACCCCTATATAATTAATCCCGATATAACTAATCTTAAAATAACTCATCTTCAAACCAAATGACCCCTAAAACTCTCCATTGATAGAAGCAATCGTTTTAGCTGACTACTTGACATCCTGTTTTTTCCTTTTTCTCCCGTTTGTCTAAAAAACTAGACATCTAATTTCCTTCAACAATTTAACTTGATGTAAATTAAGTCTTTTATCTCACACCATCGAAGTGATATTTCTGTCCAAGAAAAAGGTTAACATGACATATTTCAACTAATTGCTTTATTAGATCTTTTTCTTTTTTTATTTACCAGTTTAAATGCTTATTAAGAAAACTCAACATAAGCAATCTATTCAAATAATCCTTAATAAAAACTGCACAACTATTTGTGAAGAAGAAATAATAAACTATCCACTCGACATAAACCTAATTATAGTGGTGACTATCAAACGGAAATTAAAGCATATTCCACATCATCTATTTGGTCAATTAAATTCGACAACCGTACATATCGTCATTAATTATTTTGGTTTCTAGTTCATATGTCCTTTATCTTTTTCCTTTAGCTCTTGCATTATTACAATTCTCTCAACTTGATAGGAGAATCAATTTCTGCACCTCGTGACATCTGTGACCACAATTCTATTTTTAACTGTTAAAGATGAGTGTGCAGCTAGAAAATAGAAAGCATATACTCCAATATATATATAATGATTTCCTAATCCTATATATAATGATTTCCTGTTATTGTTTTATAGCACGACAAAGCCGAGAGAATAAGATTTTCATACATTTGGCATTTCTATATTTACTAGTCATCTGTGTGTGACTTCGCATCCAAGTCATTTGACATACAGCTTGATTTTAGAAGACATGACGTTGAATCATGAATTATATTGTTGATGTGTACACGCACACATAGCCTATTCATTACTCCATATTCTTGAGAATCGTCCTTCAAATAGAGTTACTAAAGACTAAAGAGAGAATTTCAAGAACGGGCCGTGAACTAAAGGAAGGCATGTACTACTCCCTAGAAGTGAATCAAGTAAATAAATTAAATATATACTCCCTCCGTTTCATATTAGATGAAGTACTTTTCTTTTTAGTTTGTTCCAAAACAAATGATATATTTCTAAATTTGGAAATATAATTCAACTTTAAACTTTTTATTTTACCCATTTATCCTGGGAAGCTTTTATAGCCACACAAATATCATGACCCAACAAATCTTTTACCCCTTAAGCTTTTAAGATCACAAGTTTAAAAAATCTTCTTCTTTTTTCTTAAATTCTGTACCAAGTCAAATTACCTCATCTAATATAAAACGAAGGGAGTAGCATATTTTCATATGCATACCGAAAAAGATAAGTGGATAGGTCGTCTCTCCAATCTTTAGCGGTCCAGAGCTTTTGTACTTCGGAAAAAAGATTCAACATGTGATTGCAGGTACCTCCTAGAGACACTCCACGATCCAGTAGTCACCCATGTGTACAGGGAGTAGAATTGTGTAGATCTTGCAAAACTAGGAAGTAGGATGCCACCTACTGCTGCATTGTGCATTTTCGCTGAATCACCTTTTTGTATTACAAAACAACTGTTAGAAGACCGGCGAGGATTCACGTCCCAGCGCATGATTCCACCTACAGCAGTACAACAACTGGATGATCAAGACAGCAATAGATATTTTGTTACCAACCATGTACTAAGGAGATTGCTAGTATTTATTTTGAGAGCTTTAGTAGTAAAAATGTAGTTCATACAACTTTGGAGGATCGTCAGTGTGACATTACTAGAGGCGATACCTCACATAGTTATGCCTGTATGGATAGTATACCTAATAGTATAGCTAACACTAGCACTTGTAACATGATGCATGAGCATCAAAACCCAATACACATGTTTTAATATATGTTACTTATCTTTCCTACCAAAAAAACATGTGATTCGAAGGACCACTTTAACTGACATGCGTGTTAATTCTGGATCCGGAGAAAACAAGAGTGATTCCCTCCATTATATAGTTTTAAGAAACAATTTTTTTTAAGTTTGTGATCTTAAATATGTTAAGTTATTTATGTGATTATAAAACTATGTCGTTAAGAGTAAAATAAAAAGTATAAGATAAAATTATTTTCACTTATATATAAAACCACTATTCATTTCTAATAAAAAAATTAGTGTCATAAAATGAACAATGGTAGTATATATTTAATCAAGTCTATTGGTTATTTGAGATTAGATGAAAGAAGAGATTTAACACCTTGTTTGGATGGTTGTTACTATTGTATTATTTTGTATTGTTACTTTAAATATAACATTTGTTTTGATTGTTACTTAAATTTTAATATATTGTATCGTTATATCCGTCGTTATATAATGACGAAAAGTGTCACTTTATGTAACGACCAATTTGGTGTGGTCACGTCGTTACTTTGTCTTTTTCTCTCATCTTACCCCTCATTATTATTAAATAATTTTATTTTATCCTTTATTCGGCCTTTTTCTATAATAATTCTACCTTATCATAATTTTTCTTTACAATATTTCAAGTTTATTCTTCATATTTTTGGTGCATTATATCATATAACAATGGCAAACAATACAATCTATCCAAATATTGTATTCATCAAACGATACAATATAATATAATACAATATGATACGAAACATTATGAAACGATATGTCTAAAACTATTGAGGAAGCTGAATATATAGAGAGTGATAAAATCACAACTACTATATCTAAAGGTAGCTAATAAATAGTAAGTGAGACAATAAAAAAAGACCAGAAGTTAACGAGGTTTGGCAAAATTTAATTTTTGCCTAGTCTTCGGACACAATCAACTCAAACTTTATTTCACTCCAAAAATACAAGTGAAATAGTACAAGAGAGAAAGAA